TTTCAATAGTCATTGCGAATTTTCTGTATTGTTCTATTGCACTTCTTTGAAGGCTTGATCTCAAAGCCACATTTTCACTCTCTTTCTGAAGGCCAGGAGGGAGGGGGCTGATCTAAGATCTAAAGTTTTTAATATGTTGGAGGCTGCTTTGGGTCCCATTGTGGGAGAAAAGTAGAATATAAAGTTTTATTTATTTATTATTATCTATAGTGAAGAGCAGGATTCAATTCAGATGGGATATATTTGCTGTTGTTATTGTCAAGTCGGCTTCAGTGTACAAAAACTCTATGAACCAGAAGCCTCTCAAAGATTATGATAATAGTCCTGTTCAGGTCTTGACAACTCAGGGCTGTGGCTTTCTTTCATTTGGAATCTATAATCCCTAAATCGCGTAAGAAGGTGTGCACAATATTTGGCAGGCTTCTCAGGTCAGATTAGTCCTGCCAGGAGTGATTCTGGGGATGGGTTTTGCTTGGAGGCTTCATTTGAAAGACCAGATCAACTACATTTCAAAATGCTGTAGACTTTTTCTCTCACGTACAGAGCCAACTGGGAAAATACTTGAGTCCTTCATACTAAGGTACAACACTGTTTTTCAGTTTAGTTGAGAACATTTAGATCAAGAGCTTGGAAATATGATGGCTTTTGACAGAAAACCCCAATTTAGGGGGGGTGGGGTGATTGTAACCTGAAAAGTCAACTTTCTAAACTCTGTTTGGACTCTGTAAGTGAGGAATCAAAGAATCATAGTATCAAAGAGTTGGAAGAGACCTTGTGAGCCATCCAATGCTTACTTACTTAGGTGATCCCTCGTTGTCTGAGGGTGATGGTCCTCCAAGATGTCCTTGTGGTGGGTCCTTGTGGTGGGTCCGTAGTTGACGGTGGAGCCCTATTCTTGATCTGCATGTTTTCCCGCAGTGAGGGCATTGGTTTCCAGGTGAAAGATGGAGGCTCCAAAGAAGGAGCCTCCAGCACACGCCGGAGCAGAGAGTTCCACTGTTGGACAGCTCTCACAGTCAGGAGGTTCTTCCTCATGTTCAGGTGGAATCTCCTTTCCTGTAATTTGAACCTATTGTTCCGCATCCGATTTGGGTAGTGAGCTATGATCCTTCACAGTTGGAGTGAAATGATTCAGACTATTTGAAAAACCGCACCAACATGAGTGCTGCAGTCAATGGAGGGGGCCCTCCTCTTGGTCCCACCCCGTCTCAATTGCAGTTGGTGGGAACGAGAGAGAGGGCCTTCTCTGTGATCGCTCCCCACATCTGGAACTCCCTTCCTAAAGAGTTAAAATGGACTCCTCCCTCCTTTCCTTCAAAAAGCTATTAAAACCACATTTATGCAATTAAGCTTACGGAGAGGGGGAGGGTTAAGTACATCTATTTGCACCTTACCTAGCAGCTAGCATCCACCCTGTTAACCTGTAGTTTTCCATTTCTCTCCCTGCCCCCCCCACAATTTAACCTAATTTTAGAAATTTTAAACGATATATTAAGAATTTAATATGTTAGTAATTATGTGGACTCATTTTACATTTTGTTCATTTATGTTGGTTTATAATTGACTGAGTTTTTTATTTGTTTATTGATTTGTTTATGTATTATTGTCATCATTGAATGTTTGCCATTGTATATTTTGTTGTGAGTCCTTTCCAGGAGACAAGGTGGGCTATAAATAAAGTTTCATTCATTGAGTGATTGATTTATTCCACGCTAATAGCAAAATTCAATGGAATCCTGGGATTTGTTGTTGTGGCATGTCTTCAAGCCATTTGCAAGTCATGACAGCCCTAAAGTGAGCTTCTCACAGGTTTTCTTGGCAAGATTTGTCCAGAGGTGATTTCTTATTCCTCTGAGGTTGAGGGAGCGTGACTGGCCCAAAACCATTTGGTTTCCATGGCGGAGCAGAGATTTGAGCCCTGCTCTCCAGAGCTGTTGCCCAGCGCTCAAACCACGAATCCTGCTGGCTTTAATTTGCAGTTTAGGCAGCGACATTCGGAAATTTCAACCAGAGAAAATACTTACCAGCCCCAAGATTTACAGATCAAATTCAAAGCAGTGAAGGCGGAATCGAGTGTTACAACTGCACTATAGAATATAACCACCGAGGACGCTCTGAACAATTTTACATCTCCATATTGCTTTCAGACACTGACTCCGCTATAACTGATAATGTCACTAAGTTCTGCATGGCAGCGATTAAAATCTGGCAGCTGGTGACTGATAGCCCAAGTTAGTACAAGCCAGGACTTCATACTAGCAGAAAATTGGGATTACAGACTTTTAATTATAGTATGGATGTTGCTTCCTCCTGTTTGACTGGGCTTCCCTATTGTGTGCAACATGAGCACCCCTATTCCCTCCCTTCAGATTCCCTTCTCTTTAATTCCATAAAATGTGTTGGGTTTTAATATAATCCTGACTAAGGTTTACTGCAGCTGCAGTAAATCTTGCCAACTGAAAGGCCGACAGTTCAAAGCTGGGCCAGGGTGAGCTCCTGACCTTCAGCCCAGCTCCCAGCCCATCTAGCGGATCAAAAACAGCAATGCTCACTGGCCTACGAGGAGTAGTAGTAGTAGATGGTAATACTACCTCTGATTAATAGCTACCATCCCTATCCTGTTCACACCACCAGCTCAATAGATGTCTTGAGGAATGATCAATCTATTTGCCCCAAGGAACTGAGAAATTGATGCTTCTGTTCAATGTTTGATGTTTTGTCCTATGTCTGATATAACAGGTTGCATTTTTTAAATTTAATTTTAGTTGTTAAGGCATAATTTGTTTTTATATGTTGGGTTGTCAATTTTCGTTATTATGGATGTATTGTTGTGTTCAGCCATTGAATGTTTGCCTTTTATGTTTGGAACCTGCCCTGAGTCCCGCCGGGAAATAGGGCAGAATATAAAGTTGTTGTTGTTGTTGTTGTTGTTGTTATTATTGTTGTTGTTGTTATTATTATTATTATTATTATTATTATCGAAGCCCCCGGTGGCACAGCGGGTTAACCTGCTGAGCTGCTGAACTTCTGGCTGAAAGATCAGTGGTTTGAATCTGAGTAGAGGGGTGAGATCCTGCTGTCAGGACCAGCTTCTGCCAACCTAGCAGTTAGAAAAACATGCAAGTGTGAGTAGATCAAAAGGTACCACTTTGACGGGAAGGTAGGGGTGCTCCATGCATTTCAAAATAGATACCCCTCCAGTGGGGTACCTATTAATCTACATGACCTCTCCATGCAGTCATGCCGGCCATATGACCTTGGAGACAACACAGGCTTTTCAGCTTAGAAACAGAGATGAGCATCACCCCCAAAGTCAGACATGATTAGACTTAATGTCAAGGGGAAACCTTTGACTTTAAGGCTTGTAGGTAAGATTTTTAAATTAATTATATTAATGTCCTAACAATTATATGCTTATTTTAAAGTTTTCAATCTTTTAACCCTCACCTCTGAAATGCTTGTATGAGACTACGTTTCTCTTCTCTCAAACTGGTCACTGATGGTAATAAAGTGAACTTGAACTTGAATGCAGTTTGACATCACTTTCATAGAATCATAAAGTTGGAAGAGATCTCATGGGCATTTTATATTGGCATTTCCACTTCACTCCCACCAACAATCTCAACCATGAGAAAAGGAAGCAGGATCTCCAGTGCAATATCTCTTCATAGAATCATAGAGTTGGAAGAGACCTCATGGGCCATCCAGTCCCACCCCCTGCCAATAAGCAGGGAAATTGCATTAAAAGCACTCCTGACAGATGGCCACCCAGCCTCTGTTTAAAAGCCTCCAAGAAAGGAGCCTCCACCACACTCCGGGTTAGAGAGTTCCACTGGTGAACAGCTCTCAGAGTTAAGAAGTTCTTCCTAATGTTCAGGTGGAAACTGCCATGGCTCAGCGTCTGGGACTGAAAGTTTGAGGAGGCAGCGGGTATTCTCTGGGCACCATCCTTGCAGACAGCCAATTCTCTCACACCAGAAGCAACTTGCAGTTTCTCAAGTTGCTCTTGACACACACACACACACACAAACAAACAGCACTTTGGAACTGAGAAGGTCTTGTAGGGGCATCACTCCCAGGACTGAAGGGAGATGTTGACAAGCTGGAACATGTTCAGAGGAGGGCAACTAAAATGATCATAGGTCTGGAGAACAAGCCCTATGAGGAGTGGCTTAAAGAGCTGTTTAGCCTGAAGAAGAGTAGGCTGAGAGGAAACATGATGAGAGCTATGTATAAATATATGAGAGGAAGTCATAGGGAGGAAGGAGCGAGCTTGTTTTCTGCTGCTCTGGAGACTAGGATGCAGAATAATGGCTTCAAACTACAGAAAAGGAGATTCCACCTGAACATGAGGAAGAATGTCTAGGCTGTGAGAGCTGTTCAGCAGTGGAACTCTCTGCCCCGGAGTGTGGTGGAGGCTCCTTCTTTGGAAGCTTTTAAACAGAGGCGGGATGGCCATCTGTCGGGGTTGCTTTGAATGTGATTTTCTTGCTTCTTAGCAGAAATGGGGTTGGACTGGATGGCCCTCGAGGTCTCCTCCAGCTCTATGATTCTGTGATTCTATGAACTTCCTGACTGTAAGTGCTGTTCAGCAGTGGAACACTCTGCCCCGGAGTGTGGTAGAGGCTCCTTCTTTGGAGGCTTTTATACAGAGGCGGGATGGCTATCTGTTGGGGTTGCTTTGAATGCGATTTTCCTGCTTCTTGCAGAATGGGGTTGGACTGGATGGCCCACGAGGTCTCTTCCAACTCTTTGATTCTATGATTGCCTCGCCTTGAGGCATGGCTGGGAAATGTGAACCGTGGAGGGAAAGATGCACCTGGTTCCGTAGAGCCGTCGGGGCTTTTCTGCCTGGGATGACCAATCGGCTTCTCCGGAGGCGGGGCGGCTGGCCAATCCGCAGCTGAGGAGGGCGGGGCCAAACGACACCCGGGAATAAGAAACCGCGGGACGAGGATGGCCCGGCTTTGGCCGGAGGAGAGCCGTCGTGGGCGAGGTAGGCAGGCAGGCAGTCAATCTCCGCGATGGCCCCGCAGGAGGAGCCCAAGGAGGCGGCGGCGGCGCTCTCTCAGGCTGCCCGCTCTCCTTTCCCGCGGCGGCTCTTCACTTGGGAGGAAATCCGTCTCCGCACCAGGCCCGAGGATCCGGATCGGGAGATGTGGCTGGTGCTGGAGCGCAGGGTCTACGACGTGCGGAGCTTCCGCGAGCGGCACCCGGGCGGCGCGCGCATCTTGCTCAGCCACGTCGGGCAGGAAGCCACGGTGAGAGCTCAGCAGCAGCAGGAGCCCACAAAAGAATCACATGGACAGCAACAACAACAAATTAATAAGAATTAATAGGAATAATTTAATATTGTGTAGCTAAAATGTGCAATGATATTTTTAGTGTGTAGATCAGGCATGGGAAAATAGGACCCTGTATGGGGGGTTTGGTCTACAACTCTCCCACCATTCCTAACAGCCTCAGGCCCTTTCCTTTCCCCCCTACAACTACAACTCCCAAATGTCAAAGTCTATTTCCCCCCAAACTCCATCTGTGTTCATATTTGGGCATATGGAGTATTCGTGCCAAGTTTGGTCCAGATCCATCATTGTTTGAGTCCACACTGCTCTCTGGATGTAGGTGAACCACAACTCCCAAACTCAAGGTCAATGCCACTAAACGCTTCTAGTGTTTTCTGTTTTTCTGTTGGTCATGGGAGTCCTGTGTGCCATGTTTGGCTCAGTTCCATCACTGGTGGAGTTATTTAATTGTAAGTGAACTATAAATCCCAGCAACTACAACTCCCAAATGACAAAATCAGTTTTTTTGAGTGAAGGACATACATTGGATTGTTAGGTGTGTCGTGTCCAAATTTGGTGTCAATTTGTCAAGTGGTTTCTAAGTTCTGTTAATCCCACAAACGAACATTACATTTTTATTTATATAGATGGTACAACTATCCGTGTTTTGGGGGATTTTTTTGTTTGTGTCAGGAACGACTTGAGAAACTTCTAGTTGCTTTTGGTATGAGAGGATTGGCCGTCTGCGAGTAGGTTGCCCCCGGGATGCCCTGATTTTTTGATGTTTTACCATCCTTGTGGGAGGCTTTTCTCATGTCCCCGCATGGGGAGCTGGAGCTGACAGAGGGAGCTCATCCGTGCTCTCCCTGGATTCAAATCTGCAACCTGCCAGCACAAGGGTTTAACCCGTTATACCACCGGGGGTTCCCATTTAGGGGATGATCTCTCTGGGTTGAGTAGCAGACTTTTCCCCCACCCCCTGGTGTTTGTGTGGGGTGAGAGAGATCCACAGACTGTTGCTGGTCAGTGCTGGGGAGCAGCAGCTTTACTGGTGTTTGTGGGGGGGGGGGGGGGGGGGGTGGTGGTGAGAGAGACCAACAGCCTGTTGCTGGTTGGTGCTGGGGAAGAGAGACCCAAAGTGCTGTGTCAAACGATAGCCACTGCTTTCCTTCTTCCCCTTGAGGACACACAGTACCTAAAGCATTTTCTATGTCTCCCTTTATGCCTCAGCTTGCAGCACGCACAGAACAACGGGGACTTGACAGAGGGAGCCAACCTTGTACGCTGCTTAGCCTATCACTATGTCTTATTTTCGGGGTACGGCTTATATTGTGCAAATGCTTAGAAATCCTGCTATGGCTGATTGTATGGATATGTATTATTTTAGGGGAAACAGGGTAGCATAGAGCCATGTCAGCAAAAGCTCTCGCTGTCAAAAGTGGTTCATTGTACAGTATAAATGTACCCATAGATTTTTTTAAACATTGTGTCAGGAGCGACTTGAGAAACTACAAGTTGCTTTTGGTGTGAGAGAATTGACTGTCTGCAAGGACATTGCCCAGGGAGGTGCCCGAGTGTGTTACCATCCTGTGGGAGGCTTCTCTCATGTCTCTGCATGGGAAGCTGGGGCTGACAGACAGGAGCTCACTCCATCTCATGCATTTGAGCCGCCGACCTCCAGGTTAGCAGTTCAGCCAGCAAAATTAATTCAATTTTCATTAACTTACCCTTCTTACACCCCGCCTTTCTCTACCTTAAAGGGGACTCAAGGCAGCTAACATATAGGCAATTATTCAATGCTTTAAAACACATTCAATAACATTAATATTAAAATTAACTTAAAATTAATATATATTAAGCATTTAAAAACATTACATTCAATATTAAAACCACACCCTCCATAATTGTAGTCCAAGCCATTTCATAGTCATTGCACATATTCCAAATCTGCTATTGCATTGTACAAGGGTTTAACCATAGCTGCCAGGGACAGTCAGTCCTCCATATCATCCAGGGATCTAATAATCCAGGACTTGAAAATACTCAAAAAGTCCAAGATTTTGGCATTTTAAAATATAAAGGACATCATTTCATTACGCCATTGTATAGAATGGGATTTAGGCATCCAAAGATTTGGGTATCTGCTTTGGTCCTGAAACCAAACTCCAGTGGATAGCAAGGGTCTGCTGTATGTGCAAAACTAGCACTCTTATTCAAAACAAATGGCTGAAACTGTACTAGGAGACATACTTGCATTTGGCCAGCAATGCCTTTTTGTTACTATTGGCTGTAATATAAAAATGAACAAGTTTTACAATCCATGTCTGACATTCTTGGTGAAAACAAGAGAAACCCAGTTTAGGAGAGGTGACAGTTCTGGCCACATAGATTCAACCAAACACCAGAAACGAATTTTGCATAGGAGTAATTGTTTCAGAGTTGTCATTTATCTCATTGCACAAGCCAGTGTTTTCCCTATTCATGAATTCATGAATGAATTGCTGCTGTTTGGTAGTTATTAACTTCCCAGTGCTTTGGAGAATATGCATAAAACAAAACAACATAAACTTTAGAATCACATAATTAAAACATATTACTTGAATTAATTAATTAAAAACACAGTCCAAAAAGCATAAATACCTTAAAAAGGAAATGTGAGAAGCCCCAAATATCTGTCTCAACTTGACAGCATCCTGGTGCCCCAATTCTCAAAAATGTTTGGAACCAACTATTTCTTAAATTTGTATCAAATCTAGAGCTGTCATCGCTGATTAATCCTGTAAGCACCAGTGATGAGTAAATTATACACACAGTCATATGTAAATCATACATATACTGTACAGATAATTTGCCTATCACTGGTGCTTTTATAATACATTGCAGATGACAAAACAATTACACCATGTTCATTTTTCACTATGATAAGACTCATAGCCAAGCTCTAGCCAAGAGAGGCAGTGGGAGGATAAGTTGAACAACATCTGGAGATTTGCTTGAGTCTAACAACAACAACAACAACAACAACAAATTATTTAACTGCTTCTTCTTGTGGTTCGAAGTGAGGTACAACATGGTTAAAACAGAGAGATAAAACACAACACTTTTAAAATACACACACTTTGAAGTTCTTCAGAACTGTGAGTATAGATTGAACCTCCCTTTTCTGGAAATTTATTTACTATATTTATATACTGCTTTTTTCAGTTCTCAGACGACTCAAAGTGGTTAACAGTAGCAAAATTCCATGCTCAAACATCATAAAACAGTTAAAAACAATTAAAAACAGTAGCATAATAAACAATCATCTAACATACTACAAATAATGTGGAACTCCCTCCCCAACGACACCAGATTGACCCCCCTCCCTCCTGACCTTTCATAAAAAACTTAAAACCTGGCTATGGGGTCAAGTCTTTGAGCAATAAGCTGGAATAATCTGGAAAGAGAATGTTTTAACAAGCACAGTGGTCTGACCTGGATGATGTTTTAAACCAGCAAACGGTTTTAAATTGATAGTTTTAAAGTGATCGTTTTATAACGGTGTTCAATTGTATCATGATTTTAATGTATTGTATTGGCACCGTGGGTTGCCTGTTGTAAGCCATCCTGAGTCCCTCTCCGGAAGTGAGAAGAACGGGGAACAAATGCTTAAATAAATAAATAATAGTAATACAGTTATAGACCGCCCTATCTCCCCAAAGAGACTCAGGGCTGTTTCCAACATGTAAGGCAAACATTCAATGCCAGAAAGTAAAAAAACAACAACATTCAAACAAATTACATCAGGACAAACCATATTAAACAATATAAAAGCAACCTAATTCTAAACTCAATAACAGAGAGAAAAAATGACAGTAAGAACTTAAATAACCTAAATGAAAACATTTTTTGTTCCTACCAGGTGTCTACTTCTGTTTCTGGGAAAAGGGACTAACCATATGTTCAACACCCATTGGTTTTTCCTCAAGGAACCCTAACAGGGGAAACAGAAAATGTAGAAGTGTGAGCGGAGATGAAACAGAATTTCCCTCTCTTTTTTTTTTTTGCTCCTTTGTATAAGGTAGTGTTTCTCAACCTGGGGGTCTGGACCCCTGGGGGGGTCATGAGGGGTGTCAGAGTGGTTGCCAAAGACCATAAAAAACACAATATTTTCTGCTGGTCACTGGGGTTCTGTGTGGGAAGTTTGACCCAATTCTATTGTTGGTGAGGTTCAAAATGCTCTTTGATTGTAGGTGAACTATAAATCCCAGCAACTACAACTCCCAAATCTCAAGGTCTGTTTTCCCCAAACTCCACCAGTGTTCACATTTGGGCACATTGAGTGTTCGTGCCAAGTTTGGTCCAGATCTAGCATTATTTGAGTTCACAGTGCTCTCTGAATGTAGGTGAACTACAACTCCAAAACTCAAAGTCAATGCCTACCAAACCCTTCCAGTATTTTCTATTGGTCATGGGGGTTCTGTGTGGGAAGTTTGGCCCAATTCTACCATTGGTGGAGTTCAGAATTCTTTGATTGTAGGTGAACTATAAATCCCAGCAACTACAACTCCCAAATGACAAAATCAGATTTTTTTTAGTGAAAGCAGTATTCAAATTTGGGTGTATTGGGTATCTGTGCCAAATTTGGTCCAGTGAATGAAAATACATCCTGCTGCTGCATATCAGATATTTACATGACGATTCATAACAGTAGCAAAATTACAATTGTGAAATTGCAATGAAAATAATTTTATGGTTGGGGGTCATCACAAAATGAGGAACTGTATTAAGGGGTCACAACATTAGTTAGGTTGAGAACCACTGGTATAAGGCCTGGAATGTGGGCTGACAGCTGTGAAAATGTCTAGATCAGTGGTTCTCAAGCTGTGGGTCCCCAGGTGTTTTGGTCTACAGCTCCCAGAAATCCCAACCAGTTTACCAGCTGTTAGGATTTCTGGGAGTTGAAGGCCAAAACATCTGGGGACCCACAGGTTGAGAAT